CGGCCCGCGCTAACGGCGCGCTCTGATTGGCCAGTGTTCTTCGTTAATTACTCGAAAACGAAGACTTCACCACCATTTTGACAAAGGAAAAAGTTGTTTTGAATGACCTCACTAATCATCCCTCTTACGTTCCTACCCCAGTTCTGGGACACCCTGTACAGTAAAAGCTGGATATATGCAACAAAAGTTTGGCTGGATATATTTGCAACATCGCTATCCCCTCCACTTGGGGGGATCCCCCTAAGCCAAACCGAGCCGCTCGGCGAGGAAACCGTGTAATATGATCCGACCGTAATATCGGTGTGACTAATACTAATTGAACGATAAAACTTTTTTATTTTTAACTTTTTCTTAATGAAATTTTTACTAACGAATTTGTGAGATTGTTATGATTAAAATGGTACTAAACACGATATGATTTGAATTATATTTATTTATTAAAATAATAATAAAACTGTAATAATAGCAAAGTACTAAACTGGTCGATGGCGTCATAAACTTATTGTTGCCACGGTTCAGTTTCTAAGTAGCGGAACTATTGACTGCAAATTAGGTGCTTTATGATGTTAGGAACAGCCCGTGATTTCCATGAAACCGGACAGTTTCTTCCTATTGAAAATAAAAGTAATTTACAAGCTAACAGTAATAACAGAATGAAAATAGAATAAATAAACAATAATAATAAAATAAACAATATAGAATTGACACCTCGGCTACATATGTATAAGGCAGGCCGTACACCAAAGATACATCAAACACGCAACATGCAACTTGCAACATGCAACACGTCGCATGTTGTGTACGAACTTAGAATAGGTATCGCGGCACGGTACAAACGATTTGTACGGACGCAGAATCGACACCAAGACTGAATATATGCAACGTTTAAATGCCCAGAATCGACACCTCGGCTGGATATATGCAACGTTTGAAACCCGAGCCGACACCGCAACCGGTTTTCATTTCCAATCGTCCTTTGCTTTTCGCCAACTTTTAACATCAATTTTAGCAAGTAATTATAATTCAAACTATATCGTGTTTGGTACCATTTTAATCACAAAAATCTCACCAATGCGCTAGTACAAGTTTCATTAAAAAAAAGTCAAAAATAAAAAAGTTTTTTGATTCAATTAGTATTAGTCACACCGATACGTTTCGGCTCTTTCCTTTGATCATCGGACCTCTCTCTTTCCGCCACTCTCTGTCCTTTCCTACGTTCACGCTTGGCTGCTCGTCGCGTGTAACCCGAGATTCGACACCTCGACAGGATATATCCAACGTCTGGGTCCCAATGTTTGTTGCATATATCCAGCTTTTACTGTATACAGTAAAACCTGGATAAATTCAACGAAAGAATGCTTGGATAAATGAAACATCGCTATCCCCTCCACTTGGGGGGATCCCCCTAGGCGAACCGAGCCGCTCGACGAGGAAACCGTGTAATATGATCCGACCGTAATATTCGTGTGACTAATACTAATTCAACGATAAAACTTTTTTATTTTTAACTTTTTCTCAATAAAACTGTTACTAATGCATTTGTGAGATTTTTCTGATTAAAATGATACCAAACTCGATATAGGTTGAATTATATTTATAAACAATAGTAATAGAATAAACAACATAGAATTGAGACCACGACTGAATATAAATGATGTCGGCTGAATACAAAAGATGTGTACGGACACAGAATCGGCATGTCGGCTGCAAAGAAAACATGTGTACGGACTCAGAATCGACACCTCGCTTGGATAAATGAAACATTAAATGCCCAGAATCGACTCCTTGCTTGAATAAATGAAACATTAAATGCCCAGAATCGACTCCTCGCTTGAATAAATGAAACATTAAATGCCCAGAATCGACTCCTCGCTAGGATAAATGAAACCTTTGAAACCAAAGCCGACACCGCGACTGGTTTGGATTTCGATCTCTCTTGCTTTTCGCCAACTTATAACATCAATTTTAGCAAGTAATTATAATTGAAACTATATCGTGTTTGGTACCACTTTACTCACAAAAATCTCACCAATGCGCTAGTAAAAGTTTCACTCAAAAAAAGTCAAAAATAAAAAAGTTTTTTGATTCAATTACTATTAGTCACACCGATACGTTTCGGCTCTTTCCTTTGATTTCGGACCTCTCTCTTTCCACCACTGTCTGCCCCTTTCTACGTTCACGCTTGGCTGGTCGTCGCGTGTCATCCGAGCTTCGATACCGTGCTTAGGTAAACGCAACCACTGGGTCTCAATCTTGGTTGAATTTATCCAGGTTTTACTGTACATGGTGTTCGACAACAGGTGGGCAGTATTTTAAGGGGTGATTCTAGGGATCAAAATAAGACGAAAATCAAGAAGAACGAAATAGCGTTTACGGCTTTATTTTCCAGTAATTAACGTTTAAAAATTCGAGTAAAATCCGCCTGAAACCTGCAATCCGCTTAGCACCGGCGACTGAACGTCAGGTCAGCAGGGATCGGTACAGTCATAAACAAGAATCGTTAAATAGTAGAAACTTACCTCGTGCTATTCTTCTATCTTTTTTTTTTTTATCTTCACATTGAATTTACATTAAATAACAATCACTAAAACAATGTTACATTAAATGCTTAATATGTCCATCGTTTCGTTCAATACATACGTGAATGCGTTTTCTGAAATTGAAAATCATCTGAAACGTTTTGAATATTCGTTGTTTTAATTCGTCGCTGTTCGTTACCGTTGTTGAGATTGGTGTCAGGTGACCGGTAAAATATTTGGGTAGGTGGTAATTATAAAAGTGTAACGACCCGCTAAGAAGACCCAGTACCTTTTTCATTTCGTTTTTATTATTATAATTTATTTTTAGTTTAAATTTTGTACAAAATGGTTAATTTAATTTTTATGTTTAATTGAGTTTATAAAAAAAGTAATTAGTTTAATTTGTATTATATTTCTTATAATAAATAATTTTCATTAATCGATAATATAGTCTGATTGAATAAGTCGATAAGCGATTAGTCGGTAAGTCGGTCGGTAAGTTGATTATCGATAAATGATCGACAAACGAATGCATACGCGCCAGCGCAACCCCGATGATCTCGCGGTGGGGTGAGATTCTAGAGTAGGGTGATCGCATAGACTAAGGAGCAGGGGTGCTCGGCAGTCACGTGATGGGGAATTCCAGAAAATTAGAGGAACCCTATAATGAAAAAAAGCGCTAAGTCAGCAGAATCTGACTATAAATAGAGGCGTTCCACGCAGAGTCAGATCAGATCTTCCCTGGCTTCGGTCAGATGCAGACAATACTCTGGAAGTAGAGGAAAAGCTTGCGCTGAATTGCTTAGGCAACTATAGAGCGCGAGATTAGCTCTATCCTTCTCTTTCAGTGGTGACGTACGAAAGTTCGGATCTGTGGACACCCTACTCATGGTACGCAACGTGTTGAACACGTGCTAATACTAAGCCACACGTTCAAGTGTAAAGAGCTAGCGAGGAGCGGAGCTCCTTGAGCAGGCCTGTATTAGCATAGCCCTGGCTAGACCAGAAACCGATTGCGACCTGTAGGTATAGTCCGCTCGTGTCCGAAGGTATCATACAAGCTACTAGAATATAGTTTTCCAGTACTTAGTGTAACTTGGCAAATTGTACAGAGTACTGGCTGTATTCGAAGATCAAGTCGCGTTATTACTTACTAACCACTAATCATATATTTTCCACTGTATTTCATTATCTAGGGCGTACCTATTATAATTTCTTATTGTATTTCATATTCTAGCCGTACCTATTGTTATACCTAGAGCAATTATAGTTAATTTACTTACTTGAATAAAAGATAATTTTAGTTTGATACATTAATGTTGGATTTCACTCCTTAACCGCACACCACATGAACCTATAATCCCTATTTTCATTCATACGAGTCGCCTTCTTGGGGAACCGCTCTCCCTATACGTCGGTGCAGTGACGTACCTATCACTGGGTCGTTACAAAAGAGTCTAAGTGAGTGCGAGAGTTACTTCAGGTAAAGGACAAATTTTGATGAGCTGCAACGAAACAATAAATGACCCTGATATTAGAGCTACGTGGAGTCGAGTTGAGCGCCGACTACAGGTATAATAAAATAATAGGTATTCTGGGTTTTTCATAATTTACTTAATCCGTCTGACGTATCTAGTTCGAAATTTTCATTTTTATGCTGGGTACGGTCATTTCTTTCGTGTGTACCCAATTATTATTCGAAGGCTGGTATCGGGAATTTCCACAAGTATACTAAAAAATGTAAAAATAATTTGTTTTTTTTTTATCTCGAAAACGTTTTTTTCTTATTTTTTTTATCTTCACATAAGAAAATCCCTTAACACAGTTAAGCGACTATTTTTCCGATTTATTATACATTCTAGCCATTATGTTTTATATTTTTAAACATTTGATAGCTCTGAAGGAAGCTGATTCTTCAAGTTCGAAAACAGTACCTAGCAGTATTTGTAAACTTTATAATTAAAATCCACTTTCTTACGTTTTCGAGATAAAAGAAACAAATTATTTTAATATTTTTTAGTATACTTATGGAAATTCCCGATACCAGCTTATGAATAATAATTGGATATACGCGAAAGAAATGACCGTACCCACCATAAGAATGAAAATTTCGAACACGATACGTCAAACGGATTAAGTAAATTAGGACAATCCCAGAATACCTATTATTTTATGATAGTCGGCGCTCAACTCGGCTCCACGTACCTGCAATAATATCAGGGTCATTTATTGTTTCGTTGCAGCGCACCAAAATTTGTCCTTTACCTGAAGTAACTCTCGCACTCACTTTAGACTCTTTTATAATTACTACCTACCCAAATATTTTAGCTTCCACGCAGAAATTTAACGTATACCCTAACACTATGCGAAAGCAGCAGATTCGAATTGACAGTCCTTAGACACATTGCAAGGAAATGTCTGTGATGTGTCTGTGAAGTGTCTGTGAAGTGTCTCTGAAGTGTCTGATTATTGTAATCCATAATGGAATACAGTAATGAAGAATGTGCAGACATTCATATGTGCTACAGTCGAGCGGATGGTAAGGCTTGCGAAGCTCGAAGGATTTATCAACGATTACACCCACAACGGAAGATACCAAATTCGAAAACATTTACGAGGATTCATCGACGATTAAGAACTACAGGTGCGTTCTGCCGAACGAAATCTGGCGGACATGATCAACGGGATCCAGACCTAGTGCAGAAAATTATGCAGCACGTAGAAGAGGATCCATCCACCAGCACGAGAGACATTGCTGCAGCAGAAGGTGTCAGCCACAATACAGTGTGGAGAATTTTAAAGAGCAACAGATGCATCCGTACCATTTTTAACGGGTCCAAGCATTAGAAGCAGGAAACCTGGAAAGAAGATTGATATTTGCAACATGAATGTTGCAAAAAATTACTGCTGACCGGCACTTCTGTTCCAAAATATTGTTCAGCGATGAGGCAATGTTCGCCAAACACGGTGTGCAAAATGGTCACAACGATCATATGTGGGCCACTGAAAATCCACACGCTATTGTAGTCGTAAATTCACAGCGGCAATTTTCGGTTAATGTTTGGGCCGGAATTGTCGGTGACCACATTGTTGGTCCAGTTGTGCTGCCTCATCGGTTGACAGGACAGAACTATTTGGAATTCCTGGAAGACAAATTGCAATCATGTTTAGAAGAAGTGCCATTAAACATTCGAAAGGATATGTGGTTTATGCAAGATGGTGCACCACCACATTGGGCGGGGTATGTGAGAAATCACCTGAATGAACGTTTTCGAAACAGGTGAATTGGCCGAGGGGGACCCGTCGTTTGGCCTGCACCCGTAATCAATCCCTTAGATTATTTTCTATGGGAACACCTGAAGAGTTTAGTGTATTCAACACCGATAACGAACAGTGTGGAATTAAAACAACGGATATTGTTTATATCGGGAATAATTTATAACGTTTTAGGCGATTTCCATCGGATGAGACTTAATTTCGAAAAACGCATTCGCGTATGTGTTGAATAGAACAGGGGGTGGACATGTTGAACATTTGATGTGATGTGTTTTAGTGTTAATAGTGATTATTATTTAATGTGAATTTAATGTTAAATTTTTTAGTTTTAAATTTGGTGATTGCGTGGTGCAGGAAGAGGGGTTTTAGTGGGTATATCGGAAACGGAGAGTCCCACACTATCGGATTTTGTTTCGGTGTGCGTAACAGCATTTCCCCTCCTCTGAGATAGATAAAAAATAAATAAAAATTTAAAAAAATAGAAGAATAGCACGAGGTAAGTTTCTACTATTCAACGAATCTTGTTTATAACTGTACCGATCCCTGCTGACCTGACGTTCAGTCGTCGGTGCTGAGCGGATTGCAGGTTTCAGGCGCTTTTTACTCGAATTTTTAAACGTTAATTACTGGAAAATAAAGCCGTAAACGCTATTTCGTTATTCTTGATTTTCGTCTTATTTTGATCCCTAGAATCACCCCTTAAAATACTGCCCACCTGTTGTCGAACACCCTGTATATTTGTAACTGTTATAACTCATCATTATTGCAATTGCCTGTTAACGTAATTGTTCATAGCTTTCGAACATAAATTCGAACGAATCTTACCGTCACAAACTCTTATTATTACCGCGGTAACAGAACCGCAAATTCTCTTGTATGTAATATATTATATTTTGTTAATTATTTACTCTTTTGTTAATTATTTCATACTTGGTTGGTGTTGGATTTTGGGTGCGGTTGGTGGGCACGAGAAATAAACTTCGAGTTTAGTTTCAATGAGCAAAAGAGCTTTATGTATTACTTAAGGAAAGAAAAAAAAGGATTACATTACGTGCAGGCGCGAGAGCTGCTCTTTTGTCGAGAGATACGAGCTGGAGTTAATTACTGCGCCCGCCGACCGATGGCGATAAGGCCCCGCAGATATAAGCTATCGACCGTGATCGATACCCGCGAAAATACGAGATCGGTAAATCGCATTGAACATATATAGTTTATCAACAGTTGGAATCTAATTATATGATCAGTTAATCTTAAGCGGTTTCATTATTTCACATCAAACAGTTACTCACCGAATTCCTACTTTATTTTTCACACGTTACCGATACGATTTCAAAAAGGGACCCGTATGGGCCTAAAGCACCGACATACCGACAGTAGTCTAAACTTGGATTATTATTAATACTTTTTAAATTGTTCCGATCGTAGAGGGCGGGTTGCGAATCTCGTTCATGCCATACGCGATCGGGACTGGTGGCAGCGATACCGACTGCCGTGCAACAAAGCATCAAAAGATGCATATGTAAAAATATTCGATTCTTATATTTTTATCACTTACGCGTACGCACGACGTAACGTAATCCTTCTATTATGTTCACAAAAACAAACACTAATTGTATAATAATTAAGATTGTGTATATTTTTCACAAATGTAATAAAAGATTCTTTTAAACACTCAAAAGCATGTATAAAAATAGACGATATCAAGAATTGTAATTCGAAAAAACTGTAGGACAAAAGAATTACATAAATCAAAGAATTGGACTTGGTCACATAGGTTCGAATACAGTAGAATGATTAAGGTTACAGTGACCATGTTTAAAAAATGCGCTATTATGAGCATATCATGTTTTAATAAACTGTCTATTACAATCGAACTTTACTGACTTCAATAATAATTAGTAAGACAAAAATCGCGAGCGAACTGTAGTTCAGAACGTATTTTATTATTATAGTTATCTTACATTCTATATATTGTAGTCGTGTATGTTTTTGATATACTTGTAGATATAGAAGTACATATAAACTGGGTCAAAAGACGTAGAATTTCGTCAAAAAGACCCAAAAGACCCGTTAGTTATGTCTACAATGAGACAACATACAGTCAGATAAATTAACCCTTAATTGACATCATTTGTTTCTCAAATGCAAAAAAAAAAACAAATTTTCTGTTTTGATTAAAAAAAATTAAATTGCCTTATTTAATATTATAGCGTCGATAATTCAAAATGCTTTCATCAAGTAAAGTTTGATGCTAAAATGTGAGTTCCGTCATTTTATAATCATGTATCAAAATATAATACTTTTTAAATAAAGTAACAATGAAATAAAATAATTTTTGAATTAAGTTCTTAAGCACATTAAAGAACGAATATAAGGAATTAAAATAGGAAACAATACACAGTTGTCATACTTTGCAATGCTTTGCAATACTTGCAATACTTCGTTGCGAACGAGAAACATCAAATTTAACCTTTAGAGGATCGACATTTGCTTTTTATAAAAATAGTAGTTTTTATTTTTGAAAAATTTATGTATCGGTATAAGCAACGTATATATTTTGCAAAATTTCAGAGCCTGTATAGGGTGTAAAAAAATTAATGGTCATGGCTTTAGGGGGTGAATTGACATCCTAGGATCGGTGGACATTTATAAAAAAAACTTGCGGCAAAATTGTTTATAACATTGAAAATTAATGTTAAACTTTTTTTTACATCAACGTATTCTGAGCATTGAGAAGAAAAATAGTCTGAGAAGAACCATATGTCGCAAACAAACTGTTTGGTCAGGAAAAATTATTAAAAAATTCACAGCGATTTGGTTGTATAGTGTAATACATAGAGAAGATATGGGTCTACCACCACTTTGCCACTTAGGCGTATCTTGAGTGTATGTATCCCTACCCTAAACTGACACAATATAACGTTTAAAAGGACAGTAGACCTAGTAAGGTGCATCGACCTTTTCCAGTAGGGATACACACACCGCTGTGCCAGGACTCAAGATACGTCCAAGTGGCAGAGTGGTGATAGACCCATGTCTTCTCTACGTATTACACTTGTTACGTATCCGTCTCGGAAATTTCCTTATATGGTGTTACAAACCCTTCTCAAAAAATTTCTTTATATGGAATCGGATGTGTGCACCCGACACCAACCGTCTTCTAGAAAAGTCGAGACCAACGCAAAGCAAGGGCGCGGTCCTACGGGTCACGTAGAGTCAGTCCCCACCACTCTTTTTACTCTAATTTTTGAGTACAAAAAGGGTGGCTGCAAAGGCACCTCGGGTCTAGTTGAAGTCTAGAATCAGTTCGATACACGTCAATACGTTCTTTTACGGATAATCTCTGCAACAAGGAAACTCTGCGAGATCGGGTATTCAAGTCCCTTTCAAGCAATCAGTAACTATACAGTACGTTGTCTGCTGTTAAGCATTATTCTGATCGTTGTAGTCCGCCACCGTTTGCTCGCGTTCGTGAAAACCAAGAAGGATTAGATTCTTGCTTCGCGGAATCGAAACTAAACTTTATTTATTCAACTCATTTAAATTTGCAACTTAGAGTTTAATTCATTGAACACCGCGACAATTGCACACAACAATTGTAAGGTCCCGGAATAGAGAATAAACTCATATTATTTTAACTTACATACCATTGTTCAATTATATTTACTGGTCCAGAAACCCACTAAGGTGTACCTTTACCGCTCGAGGTACATCAATCAAGTTACGAGACCTAATACTACATTTCCTGCGGCTCCCTACGTTAGCCATACGTAGGTTCATCTCCACGTCTACTTCCTTAGGCTCCCAGTGTTAATAACAACACTGGTCAAGCCATTAACAAATACCATAACCGAGATTAAGCCCCGACTACGCAGTCGCCCCCTCCGGCTCGTAACACACTAAACAACCAAATCGTTGTGAATTTTTCAATAATTTTTCCTCACCAAACGGTTTTTTTTGCGACATATGGTTCTTTTCAGACTATTTTTCTTCTCAATGCACAGAATACGTTGATGTAAAAAAAAAATTTAACATTAATTTTCAATGTTATAAACAATTTTACCGCAAGTGTTTTTAATAAATGTCCACCGATCCTAGGGTGTGTGTTCACCCCCTGAACCCATGACCATTAACTTTTTTACACCCTGTACAAAGTCTCAAAACGGGCTGTGCCGATTATCTAAAGCTTAATATAACACTTATTTTTCATAAACGTCAAAACACTGCTCGTATTAACAAGTGCTAATGATTATACCAACATTATTCAATCTTACCTTTTTACATATGCATTCTTCGTGGGACACTGTATCATCAAATTTACATCTCTTACTGTTTCTTTGTTATTAGATTTCAGGCACGTATTTCGTTGAAAAATTCCCACTCGGGTGTTTTTTTTTTTTGGTTTGCTGTTAATACTGTTGTCTTCAACTGTATGTACTTGCTATTTTCTCAATACATCTTCTCTATGACTTATCGATGAAAATGCGAGTCTTTCAAGTACCTAAAATAACGACTCAGAAGTATAAAAACAACATATTTTTGTTCGATTTTACAATCGGACGGTGATCAGC